TGTCAGCGGGTCTCGTGCTGTGGGTATGGAATAAAGATGAATGAACATCACCAAAACACAAATTTCCTTTTCTTTGGTCCTTCCTGTGCCTGCCTGCATTGGGTTTGTGCGGCAGAGTTTTGGTAGCAGGGGAACTACAGAGGCGGACTCTGTGAGAAGCTGCCAGAAGCTTCCCCAGTGTCCCAGGGAGCCAGCACCAGCCAGATCCAAGATGGACCCACTGGTGGCCAAGGCCGAGTCCATCAGCAGTGGTGATAGCACCTCTCTGATAATGTATTTAAGAAGGAAAAAAAAAAAACAACTGAGAAACAGCAGCTGGGAGAGAGGAGTGAGAACAGGAAAGAAAAACAACTCTGTGAATGCCAAGGTCAGTGAAAAAGGAGGAGGAGGAGGAGGAGGAGATGCTCCAGGAGCTGGAGTAGATTGCCTTGCAGCCCACGGTGAAGACTGTGGCAAGGCAGGTTGCGTCCCTGCAGCTCATGGAGGTTAGTGGCAGAGCAGATATCCACCTGCAGCCTGTGCAGAACCCCACAGTGGAGCAGGTGGATGCCCAGAGGAGTCTGTGACCCCCTGGGAAGCCTGTACTGTGGACCCACAGAGGGAGAGGACCCCATGCTAGAGCAGGTTTGCTGGCAGGACTCATGACCAACCCCCAGGGTTTGCGAGCTCTCTTCCTGACAGAGCACACACAATGGAGGGCACGCGTTGGAGCAGTTCACAACGAACTGCAGCATGAAAGAAGGACCCATGCTGGAGGAGTTCATGGGCAAATGTCTTGTGGGAGGGACCCCACGCTGGAGCATGGGAAGAGTGTGAGGAGTCCTACCCTCTGAGGAGTAAGGAGGGGCAGGGACAAGATATGAGGAACTGACAATTTCCCCATCCCCCTGCACCACTACGTGGGAGGAGACAGCAAACTGGGAGTAAAGTTACGCCTGGGAGGAAGGGAGGGGGGAGGGAACGTGTTTCAAGATTTAACTTTTATTTCTCTGACTGTCACTCCCCTCCGCTGATCTGACTGGCAGTCAGTTGAGCCCATTCCCCGGCCGGGCCTGTGCTGGCACCCCACGCTGGCAACCCGGCCGCTTTGGCGGCGCTGCGGTGCCTGTGCCCTCCGCTCCTCACCAGCCCTGCGCGGTGCCCGT